CTTGTTTATCTAAATCTAATTGTTACGATTTCTTTTGTAGGGTTCTTTTTTTTTTTTTTTTTTTAATTTTTTTTTTTTGCAAGGTTGATTTATAAGCAGTTTAGTTGTTTCTAATAAAAGCCTCTTGTGGTTCTCTAACAAAGCAAATTAATCATATGGCTAAATAACTACTAAACTGCAAAAGCTTAAGCTATTAAGACCCAAAAGAAAAACAAAAGTGTAATTTCACTTGTATTTTACAGATGAATTACCAAATCTCTGCCAAGTAAAAACAAATTGTGTTAAAAAATAGGCTAAATTGTAGCAATGGTCCTTGGACTAAGATCAAACTTTACTTTTCATCCCTTATATTGCTAAATTGTTATGGTGGTACTTTAATTATGCTTCCACTTTCAGAAATCGTCATTTTCGTCAACTCAGTCAACTTTTCCGTTAAAAATGATGACATGGCATGAACAAGTCCCACTTAGTATGGGCAAAAATGTCTTTTCCGTACTTTTTGAGGTCTACTGCTGCTTCATCAAACTGTTCTGTTTTGCTATGCTACAATACAAATGGTACCACCTTCTCAATCTCCAAACCTAGGGATCAACATGTAAAGAGAGATGAAATGTTAGAAATTTTTTAACGAAATCTTAGTATAAGATCTTGGGGGGGGAGGGGGACCTGGAATTGATGGGGGGAGAGAAATCGGGGCTGTGAAGAAATCTGGGTGGATGGGGGGAAGAAGAAATCGGGAGCGAAGGATGTTACGTGTTGGAAGGCATTTGCTTAACTGTAATTTTATCAAAAGATAGATATAACAGAGCTTTCAGACAAGCATCCGGTGCATCAATAAATAGACCTCTCAGTGGGGACTTCCAAGCCCAATTATCCCATGACCTACTGTGATGGTAGCATTAAAAAATTTCATCCAACTTGACTGAACTGCAAAGATTTTGAAAATCTCTCCCAACCTTCGATATTTTTAGCGTAGTGACTCACCAAAAGCACTTTCTCCCTCTCCTTTTCAACTTGGGAACTCATTGCTTTGAATTAAAAAATGGTAAAACATTCTAGATTCTTGCCTTAGCTGTATAAAATTCTAACAAATTAAAGTGTAGGTGGAGGAGAACGACAACGTTTTGGTGCTGAGCGAGGAGCGAATGAGGGAGAAAGAGATCGAGGAGAGTGGGGTGAAATACGTGAGGATGGAGAGGAGGATTGGGTGGGGAGCGTTGTGTTCTGGGTTCATGGGGCCGGTGGTGGTCATGGGGAATGGGGGGAGAAGAAATCGGTGGTGGGAGAGAGAGTTTTTTTTAATGTTTATTTATTTATTTATAAACAAATAAATATTTTAATAAATTTAAAGTTAATGAAAAGACAAATATGCCCTCATTTTTAACGGAAAAGTTGATTGAGATGACGGGAATGACGATTTCTGAAAGTGGAGGCATAATTAAAATATCACCTTAACAATTTAGTAATATGAGGGACAAAAAGTAAAGTTTGATCTTAATTCAGGGACAATTACTACAATTTTGCCCAAAAAATAATGTTAAATCAACAAAATAGATTTACAATGTATATCAATCAAGTTAACACTATCCTTTCTCACATGCGTAAAATGCTAAATAATTATGCAAAGAGGACAATGAAATGTTTCAGATTCAAGATCTTCGAGAGCTGTGACACATGTATTGTGTTAAAAAAACCATTAAAGATTAAGCTTAGGCAAACAAAATGCATGGATTGGCTGAGATCAATTATCTTAAACAATCATTTTGATCATATCTTCTTATATAAATCATCAACCTCTTTTCACAAAACAACTTGGCTCGGCATGAAAACACCATATGGATATTGTTGTCGGGCATACCGACTGTTCATCATCAAATGAAAACTACGGTTCTGCTGCGTGCAGCTGTCTTCTGTGTGTCTCTAATGCCTGTTTCGAGACATATAAGACAATGTTAAAGCACATGAATTGAATCTAATGCAATTTGCAGGTTTCTTGTCTTATTAATGTAAACAAAACAAGTCAGTCGAAACCGAAACAAATGTTGGATCTCACAAGTCCATTTGTCGTCATTTAAATTTAATAATGCAAAGGTCTCTTAGAATAATAAGGCAAAGTCATTAGCTAACTCTTTTGCTTACAGACTTTAGTCAACTGTTTAATCCATGTCTGTTTTTGCATACAGTATGATAAATAAATTAATCTTGATTATTCGACAACATTAATCTATTTTTATCTAAGGGTGGTAATTGAAAATAATGAACGGATTCAAGTCTAAAATGAAAATTTAGTCACAAGAGATTTGTAGCTCAATCGGCTAAAAGTGATTACCCTGCTCGAGATCCAATATTTGAATAGGCCAACCACATTGTTCTATGAAAACTACATTCCAAAAAATCTTTGCAGTGAATCTAGTCCTTGGTGGAAGATTGTAATTAACAAATGATGTTTAATTAGCTTCAAATTTAATGATTGTCAAGCTCTCTAGAAGACTTGTTAGTCTCACGTGATCTGTCAAGATAGACTTGTCCACCCCATACGAAAAATTATCTAGTGTATGATTACTTGGTTGATTGTATGGGTCATTATAATTATGAATTTATAAAAAAAAAAACAAATGCAATGAATGGGTTTACATTATTTGAAAACAAGATTTTCTATTCGACTTCATTTTTCTACGTCAAAGACAAGACACAATTGTTTAAATGTTTCTGCTATAAAACATAAGTTGGCCCACCAACTCGCACAAGAAGCCCTTCCAAGCCCAAATCTGAACGCGACTTTTAAAAATTGGTGCATTACTAGTCATACGGACCTTTCACATGACTTGTCAAGAATTCTACGGTGAGGACTATATATATGAACCTATGACTTCTTGTGCATAATTGACATTTTAAAATTGAGACATTGTAGTGTAGTTCACACTCTTTGCCTATCATAAATGTTGAGTCATTCTATAGTGAAGGGTCTTATCTAAGGCTATGAGATGAGGTCCTATCTCTTAACCATTAGATTAAACTAACAAATTTGATCTAATGACTAATCAATTTGATCTAACTGTTAAGAGATAAGACATCATCTACGGCCCTTAGATAAGACCCTCACTATAGAATTCTTGCATAAAATGATATAGTAATTGAACTCCATTCGCTTATTCAATCTGCTTGAAGATTGCAAGATATTTCCCCAAAAACTTTTATTGTTGAATGTCTAAGATTCTACGCAAGCACCGGTTCCATCTTATTGAGGATCAAAATTAACAATCTTGAGAAGAAGACAATATATATATATATATATTTAAAATTATTTAAATAAGGGATATAAGGGCGAGGTGGAATCGAACCTAAGACCTCATGTGTATGACTAAATACTCTTAACCACTTAAACTATAAGGACATGTTTACGTATCAGTAATGAGTATGAGAGGAAAGAAAATGATTTCTATTCCTGACTTCCCTTGCGTTTACTTGAAATCAGGAATGAAAAAATAAGTGGGCCCTACCTCAAAATCCATAATCACATCCCCTCAAAACTAAGTATCATATCAATTAAAAGGGGAGGGGGTAGTCGATACGATTCTCATTCATGTTTTCCTTATTAATTTCCAAAATACCATTACCACTTTAGCATAATTCCAAAACACCGCAAACCGTTAAAAAAATAAAAACTCACGCCAAGAAGAAGTTCAAAGAGGCTCCAAGGTGTTATTGGAGTTTATTTTTTCGTTTGAAATTGACTCTGGACAAAGGTGTTATTAACATTATCATTGAACTGGGCTCTTGCTGTTCACCCTGTTCAGCGTATTGATTCCTCATGTTTACACTGCCTTACTAGTTTGGTCTTCTTAGCCAATTTGAGAATTATATATGTGTTGTGGTGAAAATGTGCAAGGCATTTTAGCAATCAAATTAATTTGGATTCTGATTCATGAAAATTAGTAGATAATAACAATGGGAATCAACCTCATTCCTTTGCTAATTCTATATGTTTAGTAAACAGCTTAATGTGAATGATTTTTTCTAGGGTGGGCATCTTAAACCGAAATATCGAAACCGTACCCTAATCGCACCGTACCATACCGATTTCATATCGTTTCATTTGGTATGAGGAGATATTCGGTACCGTACTGTACCGTACCAATAGAATATGGTATAGTAGCGGTATCAAGATTTTAGTACCGGTCAATACTATACCGTACCGAATAGTATAACTTTATGTTTTTGTCATTTATGTTTGAATTGTGTTCGTATTTTTGTAAGCCATAAGGCATAATTTTAACTATTTTGGTTTGTAAGTCATAAGACATGAGTTTTAACCATTTGGGTTTGATGAATTTGTTGATGGATAAATATTGATTTGGTTGATTTGGATATTGAATATGTTTATGGATATTGAATATGTTGAATATTTGAATTTGTAATTTAGGCATCGCTTATTTTGATGTTGAATATTGAATTGGTTCCTTTTTTAGTTGTATCATTTTGGTACCGAAATGATACCGATACCGTACCGATACCGATTTGGTACGGTACGGTACGGTATCAGTTTTGGCAAACCATAATCCCGTACCGTACCATACCGATTTAAATTTCCAGTATCGGTAGCGGTATGGGCTCAATACCGTACCATACCGTACCGTACCGTGCCCACTCCTAATTTTTTCCATACAGATTCAATACTTCCCCGATTCCTAAGTTCTCTGATTCCTTACTTTCTCTATTACTGATACATAAATATGGCCTAAGTCTCTTGCAAAAACATTACCCTTAACTATATCGTTGGTGATGAGTCAAAATTGTACCAAACCCAAACTCTCCCCGAATCCAACTCCACTAGGTTAGCCCACCAATGTTTCGAACCTAAGAGAAACTACGCATCATCAGCCTATAGTCTGTTAAGCAGCCCAACTTGAGGCCCATTAACGTGGGTCCCACAACATATCATGTTTACCAACTGCCACGTTACGCCAGTCTATTCGACATGGACCCCACGTCATCAATTCAATGTGGGACAGTGCATAGAACTCTACGACATAGACGACCCAGATTCAACCGATTTCGAGCAAAGCACTGAACGTACGACATCTATCTGCCGGGAAGAAAAAAGAGAATGCAAAGCTGAGTGTGAAGAACTGAAAACCTGAAGATGGTTTTTAACTGTAAATAACGGAACCTGCACTAACAATTGGATCAACAGTCACAGAAGATAAATTAGTAAAAAGGGTTGTTGTTGAATCCGGATCAGGAATTAGGAGATCCAATGACGACAGATTCGAATCTGGAGTTGCAGGAATCGGGTTGGGAGGAGCTGAGGAGAGAGGCTAGGAAGATCGAGGGAGATCTTGATGTGAAGCTCTCTTCTTATGCTAAGCTCGGTGCTAGGTTCACACAAGGAGGTTCGTTTTCTTTTAACTTTTCTTCAATGAAAGTTCTTAATTGCTTAATTATGTTTTGTGGGTTTCGTTAATTCTTCGATTTGGGCATTGCATTTTGGTTATAGAAGGTGCAGGATTGGGATTGGTGGGTTGTGATAGTGTAGGACTGGGAAAGAGGTAGAGTTGATAGGAAGCTCTGTTTGTTGTGCCATTGAGGAGAAAATGGTGCCCAGATGCTAAAATTTGGAGGAAAGGGAGATAATGTATGATTTTCATTTTCTTTTGTGCTGAAGAGATAAAAATTGTGTAACCAGTTTCTTAATTGTGAGGTTCAGTATAGAGAATGCAGAGGTTCTTGACTTTTTTGAGTGAAAGAGATTTCTTCAGTTTCCCTTTTGAGCAAACTGGGATCTTTTGTTAGAGATTTAACTATTTTAGAGGGTAAGTATTGTGGTAATCATTTGAGGGTGTCCGAGTTTCAATTGTGTTGACATGTGTTCTTCTTCAGAAGATTTTCTGATCTTACTTGAAGTTACATATATATTTGCTTCATTTTTGTTTCCTCTTATGAATTAAATGGCATTGCATTATTGTTTCCAATGCTGTTTCTTTGGTATTTTGTTAACGACAAATGAATTGTATGACAAATGGGATTTTTGAAGACCAAATAGATATACTTTTTATACGAGAGGGATTGTATTATTTGGTTAATATTAAGGATGGTTAAGCTTTAAGGTAGGTTACTGTTTGCGTCTGTGGCCTTCATTAATTTATATATCAAAGGCCATCTACTTTTGAGCTTACAGTTTCAGTTTTGTTATCAAAGGACCCTTCTCAAAGGTTTTCTCTGTTTAACCTTCTGGCTTTGAAAAATTAAATAAACTAATACTAAAGGAAATATTTGGATTTCCTTCTAGTTGCATGATGTGAAAGTAAGTTCTGCAAGATGCAGACAAGCGCAAAAATGAGGACATGCACCCAATAAAGTTTCCTTCCACTGTTATAACTTTTATCTTCTGCTAAATAATATGGAACTTTTATGTGTTTTTGTAGTTGAAACTATACTATTATTGATGGACTAATTTAACATTAATATGCTTGATAGATTTGTCAGGATGTCTACCTTTATGATGATATAAATTTTGGAATTAGGTTATGTGGAATCTGGGTCACCTTCTGTCGGGACCAGTAGGTCATGGAAGTCCATGGAAATAGAAATCCAATCTTTGCTTGAGAAGCTCTTGGACATAAATGATTCAATGAGTCGATGTGCTGCTTCTGCTACACCAGCTACGTCTGTGACTCAGAAGCTAGCAAGGCACAGAGACATACTTCACGAGTTTACCCAGGTTTCCTTTCCTTTACTTATGAGTTTCATATTTCTATAATTTCATCGTTCTTTTTCGCCCCTGCTGCATCTTATAGCTAGCTTTGCACAGTTCATGCTATTTGGTGCACAATTATTGATGGAGATTAGTAATCTTTGCTTTACTCTGGATAGGATATACAAGATCGTTTATAACTATTATATATAACTACATGAATTTGATAAACTAGGGAAGAAGTATACATGACCAAAATCACTCAAGTCCTTGAACACAGAAGATTAGAAAAATGAAAAGACTGGTGTTAAATATCACCATATTCTAAATGATTTTGCATGTCATCCATGGTCCCCAACCTACCTGAGGTTGGTATTTGATTATTAAAAGAAAAATACAGCCTGTGAACTGGTGGTTTGATATGCTACTTGAAGCAGAGATGGTTTTGAAGTTTATATCCTTAATCTTGCTTGACCTGGATTGTGTAACTCCTGTACCAATATCATTTTGAATGGACAAGGTGTCTCCTTGGAGCATACCTTCTTAATCCCAAAGTTATCTTAGGCTCATCCTAAATATTATCAAGCGGTGAAACCTAGTCCTAAGCTTCACCAGGTCCAGACCCCAGACTTTAGACATCTAAAGAAAATCTTACTTTTGGACTGGATGAGCGCTCTGTGAGTTGAGCTAGCCCCATTTGCAACTGAGAGAATTGTACACATCATCTGATCTCTGGGGAGTGAAGTGATAATGACTGCCATTTACATGGAAGTCTAGCTCAGAGGATGTTCTTGAGGGCTTGGTTTGGTTGAATCTTACGTTTAGCCATAACTAAACTAGTTGGCAGTGTGGATGGGGATTTAATACCCCAGCTTTGGGAAGACATTTGAGTTGATATTCTCATCACTCATTTGGATTCCTTTTTCTATGACATGTGGCATAATGTAAGTCTTTTTGCTACTACTGTGTGACAATAACAATAACCTTGCGGTCTAGAAGTAAGAAATGTAGAATGCACAGAAAACAATATTAGATCTTTACCAAAAAAAGAACAATATTAGATGTGTTGCTCAAGCGTTCTACCCCCTTTATTTTTGTTGCATCACTGAGATGCGACTCAAAACAGATTTGGATCTGTAGAAGGATGCTACATTTACATAATTTTTTTGAAACATACATGCAACATTTTTTAATTATTACAGAATACCAGTTATCTTATGTATTTTGTTTTTGGCCTTGTTTTTTGTGTGTGTTTTTTTTTTGCACCAGAGCACACACACGCACATATGCAGGTCAGGTTGTAATATGGTATTTATTTTCTTAGAATCGGCTGGTGCATTTTTTATAAGATTTGCCTAGTCTGGTGCTTTCTACTTACACTTTAATCTGTTACTGCTGTCATGAGTGTTTTACCCTTTGAGTGATAAATGATTATTGAATTTTTTGCATTGTGCAATGATGCATGTCTCTTTAGGAGTTCAGAAGAATCAAGGGGAACATAAATTCATTGAGGGAACATGCGGAGCTTCTGACTTCAGTCAGAGATGATATCAGTGAGTACAAGGTGAGCATGGTTCAAACTCTGATTCATCATAGTTTTTTTTCTCATTCTTCTTTTGTCTTGTGTGTGTTCTTTCTAAAATAATGTTTGTTTTACCTGTCTTCATGCAGGCATCTGGGAGTATGTCACCAAGAATGCAGATACTACGGGAGAGAGCTGCGATCCATGGAAGCGTATCTCATGTAAGTCTAAGTGCTATTTGGTTATCATCACATGTCAGATTATGAATCAAGGAATTTCCATTTTGCATTTTTCATGGAAAATTTAGTTCATTTTTTAATTTTTTGAATTTGGGTTCAATTGAGGCTTATACAATCTATGGGCTGCACATTTTGGGGTAGTTCACTGACGTTTGGTTCATAAGCCCTCCCAAACGTCAGTGAAGACTGCATGGTACAGGCCTGAAAAAGATAAAAAGAAAGAAAAGACCACATGGTTCAGTAGCCATCTTTTATATTTAAATTCTAATGATATAAAAAGATGAACTTTCCCGTCCATCCAGTTTTGGTTTAGGACATTATGATTTGCTAGCTAGTCATCAACTGTCGTAGGTCCTTAATAACTCTTAAGAAGGTGGAAGTTTATTTTTAGTATTAGCTCATGTTAGACTATACATGGTGGAGGATTGTACCACATACCATAAAAGTGATTCTTTAAGCTCGCCCAGGTTCGGCTTGATGCTTTCCTTGCCTCAGAGCCACGCACAGCACAGAATTCTTGAAGCACTCAGTATTTCTATGTTTTGATTTGTTGAACTTTGGTTTTAATATTTCAATGTGGCGAATAATGAGCTCATATTTTTCCTTTAACTAGAAGTCAGTCGTGGGAAATCTTGTGTTAGTTTCTTTTTTCCAACCCTTAATAGTAAAATCTTCTGTGATCCATATGTTCACGTCCTTGCAGATAGATGAGGTGATTAGTCAGGCTCAAACAACAAGGGCAGTGTTGGGCTCTCAAAGGGCTTTGTTTGGAGATGTTCAAGGGAAAGTGAAAAATCTAAGTGACAAGTTCCCTATTATCCGTGGCCTACTTGGTAGGAAACAATCTATGCTGTTCATTTTCATTTTCTGATGTGACCTATTATTCATCTTCTATTCACTTTTTTTTGCAGGTTCAATTAGAAGGCGGCGATCAAGAGACACCCTTATTCTCGCTGCGGTCATTGCAGCTTGTACCTTGTTTCTTATTATCTATTGGCTTTCAAAATAAGTACACAAATGAGTTGTTGAATTGATACAAGAAAGTTATAAATTATGATGCCTCTTTAGGGAATTTTGATTATGTAATTTCTTGGGACAAATAGTTATATGTTTCAATAGTTTTTGTGGTACTTTTCTTGTGGCGTCATTCCAGTGAATTGTCTTTCGGGTCTCAAAATCTTCAGTAAATCAAATCCATAGCCGCAAGTGCACTGGCTTTTTGTTTCTTCTCCTGCCTAATTTTTATGTCCTAACGTGGGACTTGGTGGTGCAAATGAGTGATGAGGCACTGTACTTACTTTTACGAATGGTCCAAAGTGGTGGGAAACAATCCAAATCAAAACTGATCCACTGTCAAATCTTCTTTTCATGAAGCAATTTACAACATGCAAAACATGCGAGAATATATTCGAAATGTTTGAAATGGCTCTGGCACATGTTTTTGTTGAGAGAGTTGGTCAATAATATAATTTTGAAACACTGATTGTGATAAGGCGTGGTATTAATTTTTTTGGGAATTGATTGGCTTTTGGGAAGGGAGAAATCATGAAAACAAAATTAATCCTCCAAACCCCACATGCAAAAACCTGTTTGGATGCTGGGCAGGTAATTTGGTCGAGTTTGAATTTTAGTCACCAAGATGAGGAACAATGGTAGCCCATGTGTTCATCTACAAGAATGTTGGAGTCTGGTGGTAAAGGTATTATGACCAACCAACAAATCGAATTTAGGGCAAATTGAAGGGACGTGGGTCATTTAGGCCAACACTTCCAACAGTCCAAACTCTGTCAACATACACGGACGTAGGTCATTTACGGATAATTTTGCAACGTTATTAAAGTCGTCCCTTATACAATATGACTCGACGTGACATATTATGTTATCAGAATTTCAATTAAAATCGTACATTTTAAAACACGATACTTACTTGCACTCCTTAAATCACTTTCATCTCATTGCCTTACAAACTGCACTGGAAAATGATGGACTGCAATTGTTTTTCCAGAAATTAACTAGAACTCGGCTTTTTGTACTTTCTTTGTTTTTCTTCTCAAAGAACAGTAGAGAGCGATTGTACAAAATTACAGAAGAAAAAAAAGTTTTCCATTGCTTTCGAGAATATTGAGATTTGATAATTATTATTAAATTGAGGATGCAGTCAGAGATGTAATTAAATTAAACCTAAAACTTGGACAATTAAACCAACAGAAGAATCCTGGTAACCCTAAAAACAAATTAACTAAGGGCCAACCCTTTCAATTTTAGTTTTTAGTTTTCATTTTTGTGCTAGAGTATAGAGGAAAAAGATGGAGAATTGAAGTGAGAATGATGGTGAAGATGAGATTGAGAGGGAAGATAAGAGAGGAGGAGAGATGAAGGACTAACAAAAGTGAAAACAAAAACTAAAAACTGAAATCTATTTGAAATTGTTTTCACTTTTGTTATTCTTCCCTCACATCCTCTCCTCTCATCCTCTTATCCTCTCATTCTCCCTCTCATTCTCATCCTCGCTCCCATCCTCACTCTCATATTCCTCTATACTCTACCTTAAAAAATGAAAACTAAAACCTAAAATTAAATTGATTATCAAACGGGACCTGAAAAACTGGTTTAGGCTCATTGATGTCTCAGGAAAGATGGGTATAGGGTAGAAAGAAGAATTAATAAAGAAAGAGCCAAAACTGGTAAAAGATATCAATTAAGTTATATTATTTGTCCATATATTGTTGTTTTGATGCGTGCTAGCTAAAAGCACTCGGGGGCTATAGGCTATAGCTTAGCTCTCTGGAACCTGGATGGAAATGAACCCAACAAGAGGCTAGAGCTCGATACCATTTTAGGTGGGTAGAGAGTACACGTGGCAGAGAACTGTGCACAAGCCAACAAGATAAGGATCTTATTTTCATGTATTTTGCAGCAAGCCTAGAGGTCACAGCAAGCAGTAGGAGAGAGAGAGAGAGAGAGAGGGAATGAGGGAGAGAGAGAGAGTATTGAAAAGAGTGGGATTTATGGCTTATTATTTAAATCCTCCTCCTCCTTCACAGATCAAAGTCAAGTACGGAGTTTATATGTAAAGTTTCAACTGTGCTGTGCACACCTATAGCTGCCACAAACTGCTCTCTCTGCCTTGCCTCAGAGTCTCTGCTAATTGACATGCCAAAATATAACTACAGCTGTACATAAATATCATCTTTATTGGATTTCCACACCATCTCACCACACACAAAGCTGAGAGAGAATTGAATTCTTCTGGATTTTAATTAAAAGGAGCCACTTACTTGCATTGTGCGACAGCGTGCATGTACTTGTGCTGTTGGGCTTGTTTTTCTGACCGCAAAAAAAGAAAATAAATACATAAATAAATGGAATGACCCCAAGATTGTGACTATTTGAAAATGTGGAGGTGGTGTATGAGTTTTGCTTGATATAATTATGGAAAAGTACCATGAGATGAGATTGATTATTTCTTATATATGCAAGAGGTTCGAATTCTTACCACAATACTTAAAATTAGGGTTAACTAGTAATTTGCACTCTAAACTTATACATAACTTTCGATTTACCCTATATCTTTTTAATAGAAAATTAAGGATATGAACTCTTTATTTTCACCAATTTTCCCCCTGCTGTCTACATCCTCAACATTTCATCTAATTTTCTGTTAAATCATTAAAAAAAAAATTTTGAAAAAAGAAGAAAAAGATAACACAAAATAAAAACTTCATCTCCTCTGTTTTTTTTTCTTCCCCCTCCCCTCTTTTTTTTTTCTCACCCTCCTCCCCTGCCCGATGCTTCTCCGGAGGCCAAACAGCCCCACCCCCGACGCATCTCCTCCGGCCTCCTCTCTCTTGTCGCCCCATTCCCTTAGGCTTTAGTTTGAACTTTTTCTTTCTTTCTTCCTTTTGTTCTCTACAGAATGTGTCTCCCTCTGTCTCTTCTCTCTTCCGCATTCTCCCTCTTCACATATATCAAACCGCCCACCCCCTCCTCCTTTTGTCTCCCTTTTTCTTCGACATCCACAACCTCACCTCCTCGAAAACCCAAACAACCACCCCCAAAAAAAAAAAATTTATTCAAGATCAAAACCCTAAATAGCCTCCCAAAAAATTTCAAGATCTTTATTATTAACCTCACCTTACTCCCCAGGAAACCAAAAAAAAAAAATCAAGATCAAAATCCTAAACAGCCACCCAAAAAATGTCAAGATATTTATTATTAAAGTTTGTTTTCCTCTTTGCAACCTTGGCAGGGGGAGAGAGAGAGACGCTAAAATTTCTTCCACATCCCCAACCCCCCCTCCCCGAAAACCCAAACAACCACCCCCAAAAAAAAAAAATTTATTCAAGATCAAAACCCTAAATAGCCTCCCAAAAAATTTCAAGATCTTTATTATTAACCTCACCTTACTCCCCAGGAAACCAAAAAAAAAAAATCAAGATCAAAATCCTAAACAGCCACCCAAAAAATGTCAAGATATTTATTATTAAAGTTTGTTTTCCTCTTTGCAACCTTGGCAGGGGGAGAGAGAGAGACGCTAAAAGAGAGAAAGTGGGAGGGAGAAGGAGGAGGGGGTGGGCACATGGGGGAGAAGAGACAGAGGGTGGAGGATGGTGATGTTGGTGGATGTTGAAGAGAAGGAGGGGGAAAGAGATCAAGGAGAGGGTGGTGATGTTGGTGGCCGTCAAACAGATGGTGAATTTATCATTATTATTTCACTTTTTAATTATTATTTCTATATTTATTATTTTTAAGGTTTGAAATGATCAATATGCCCTCATATTTAACGACAAATTGGATGAAATGTTGAGGATTTAGATGGTATGAGGGAAATTGGCCAAAAAAAGAAGTTTATATCCTTAATTTTCTAAAAAAAAGATAGGGGATGAATCGAAAGCTAGGTACAAGTTTAGGGGCCAAATCACGAGTTAACCCTTAAAATTACAACAATATCTTCATGCTTGACCATATGAAATTTAATTTGTGTACAAAAATATAAATGTCTGAACTTGGCAAATGAATTGTAAACACTCTATGATAAGAATATCAACCAATTGATCTTCAGTCATCTTCACAAATGGGAAGTCAACTATTTCAGCCTTTAGCTTATTCTCGATGAAATGTCGGTCAATCTTCACATGTTTAATATGGTCATGGCCACAATGCCTCTATATTTGGCCTCAGCACTCAGCACTAGATGTTGCAAGCAGTGGCGGATTCAGGAATTTTCATTCCGGGGGTCAACATGTAAAAGGTTAAAAAAAAAAAATTTATACAAAATAGACCCATTGAAATAAAATGATAATAATCTAATTCATAGTTAATAGATAAAACCATACAAAATACTCATGTTCATTATCAAGGATAACTGCATCAACTTCAAAAAATAGACACACATTGCAATATACCAGAAATATCTCTAAGAATGTGATCATAAGCCAAAAAACTAGTGCAATCATCTTCGCCTCCCAAGGCATCTTGTCTTATTCGACATAAGAACTACCATATCTTAGCGCAATCCTGATCATTTTAGGGCATTTACGTCATTTTTTAGGTCTGTTGTTGTTTTGATTTGGGGCTTTATCTGCATTTCATTTGGGTTATAGCTCTCAAACTTTGAACCATTTTGAGTACTATCTTAGGGGGAGCTTATTCAAGCAAATATTTTTTCAATACGTAAGAGTTAGATTATTCTTGTTAAACTCTTTGTAGATTGAAAATCTAAGACTTTTTACCTAGATTGACCTTAGGTCTCTTCATGCATTCATATCATACATGAAAAATTATTTTAAGTAAAAATATTGGCTAAGTATGAAAAATGGTTTTCAGAATAATCATTTTCTCAAGATAATTTTTGGCGGCCTTTATTCCTTACACATCAAATAAGAAAACTTGATTTTATGAGATTTTATTATGAAGTATATATTGACTTAATGAGCCATCATTTTTAGCCTAAATCGTATTTTGCACTAAAATCGATTTTTCATATTTTGATTTGGTGGGAATTTGATTTTTTAATATTTTTATTTGAATCCAAATGGGGGGTACTTCCTTATTTACATTGTAAACTTAAGTAAATAGGAAAATGAAAATAAGGTAATCTGCCTGCTATGCTTGTGTGCTGCGCCCTCTG